ATGAAATAGGGTGCCTATTCTCAGCTCATCAGGTTTGCAGTTGCCATTGGGTAATGATATTKATAGTGAGGTCAGACTTAATTGAATAATTTTGAGCGTACTGTCAGCGCTCCCACTGTCATAATTTTGCTATTGGATTTAATGCACACCTTTCTGAATGCACTTCAAAACAGTACTTCCACCGTTACCTTAACTGCAGCCACTTCTAGTGGGTCTGATATCCTGAAGCTAAAGTTAATGGATAGCTCTTGACAGAAAACTCCCTCTCTAACCTTCTTCGACCACATAAGGGATATGCAGAGAAGAGCCACATGTTTAATTTTTTCGTTTCCAAATTACATTTTAATATATGAATCGTTTGTCAGAAAAAACATTTCACTTTGAGATAAAATKAAAATTATTCGTGTTCGTGAATACTTCTTTCTTAAATTATGTAAAACCAAATTGTGAAAATTAAAAATGGAATTTATACGAAAATCCTCTAAAACGAACGAAGATAAAGAAATGTGCGGATATTTTTTTATTTATTAAATATTATATATGTTATGTGTTRTATATTATATATATTTGCTTTTACTTAACATGGAGTTAATGCCGATGAAAGGCTTTGTGGGCGCTGTTTGGGTTGCTTTCGTTTTCCAGATGTCATGAAACCGCTGCCTATGTGTGCAATTCACACATCGTTGTGCACCACTGCTTGGCTTTCTTTTTATATTTATTTTTCATAATTTTTCTACTTTTCATCCGTGTTGTTACGTAAGCTCACCACCTCTCTTGGTGGCTAGAAAAACGCTGTTGCATTTGCAACACCTTTACACATTACAGCTCAACACTTGTGGTGCATGCCTGCCTGTTGAAGCCAACAATCAAAGCGAAGCTTAACAGCAAGAATTGTTGGCGTTCTACCATTGCTGCTGACTATGTTACTTTGTTTTCGTTTTTAAGAAAAAAAAATAGTTTACAGTTTCTTTGAGCACTTGTCCCTTGCCATTTGTATACAATATATGTCAAGCWATGGATTTATAATGGCATTTCTATTTCTTCTCAATTTTAACACATTTTTCATATTTCACATTTCATTTTTATTATTTTTACTCTCTCTCTTTCACAGGTATGCAACAAGGTTTTTAAGTGTGCCAGCTTGCCTTCGTTAACCTAGTTTTTGCAACAGTTGCGCGGTTATGTAAAAATACAACAACTATAACATAAATAGCAAGCACACACGCGCCCGAAGCTTCAATATTGTGATGCTAAAAACAAAACGCTTGAAATGCTGCGGCTCGTTGCTTTCAGGGAGTTCAAGTGAATGCCGCAACAACGAGGCTCTCACACACGCATACGCACACATACATAAGTGCACATTTACAACCGAAGTAAAAAAAAATGCATTTCAAACGAAAGTGCAAGCCGCGCCGCTGCAGCAATAAGGGGCGGGTAAGTGTACTGCGCATATTAATGCTTTCTAGCGCAGAAAGTTAAAAACTGTATACTTAATGCTATGCAAATAAGTGCTAGTGCTGTGCGTGCTTATTGTTGTTGTAGCATTAGGCGTAAAAAATAGCGTACACCGGCACACATGCGGCTTTGTGGGTGCTTTCACTTGCGCGCTGCTGCYCGAAAAGTGCACTGCCCACTCACAGACACGCATTTTGTGGCATCAGTTAACTAGTCCTGAACTGGTGTGTTAGAGTGTAGTATACTGGCGCTTTTGCCTGTTTGCCTMCTTGTGTTTCGAGTTATATTCTACGACAACAGCTGCGTTCGTTTTAAATGTCATACTTTCTGTGGTGGAAATATACAAAACGWTTGAAAGGCATATAATGTGTTTATTTTAAAATATTTCCATCAGCTCTCAATCAAAATTTTGTATTCTCTTCCTCATCTATTTTTATCGCACTATTTTTTTTTCAGAAATTGTGGCCTATTTTTCACCACTTGCACATTACTCAAATTTCCATTTATTGTGTCACACAACCGCCTTTGTTGGCTAAAATCGCTCTCAAATAATTCTAAGCAAACTTTCTGTGCCAAATGTTACTTTCGGCGTTTGTKCCACCGAGTGCTTTCACTTAAATATTACCATCCTTTAATTTTCGTATACATGAATCACAATCAGGTTTGCGCCCTCAAAAGCACCTGTTTGTAGCTCATGGCCACAGCTTTTAAAGTTTGGCTTACAATTGACGCACTGCTTCCATTCATGCCGCGTGTTAGTTTTTTCAACCGAATTGTCAACCGAAAATAGTTAAGTGCAYATGGTAGCTTTTATTATTTTTAATTATGTCAGCAGCCACATGCTAATGGAAGTGATAAACGCGAAAGGTTCAATTACACAAAGCAAGCCCATATATGTATACATTATGTAAACTGAAAAAAACGTTCTTAGCTGTTGCATCACTCTCATTCATAGTTTTACAAAAAAAAAAAAAAAAAACTAAATAAGTGTAGCTTTCAATGCAATTAATTTAGCAACAATGCTGCACTGGCATTGAGTTAGAAAGAATAAGTGTTTTAGTTACAAAATTTGAAGAGTTCGTTAATGAAACTGAACTGAAAATGCCAGTGGATTTTAAAACAGCTTGGAGCAAAAGGTTGTTAATATAAAATGTTGTCATAACGCTAAAACATACTATATAATTACAAAGATTTATAAAAGTTGGAGGGGAGGAGTATATGGTAGATCAGCGGCCATCTGATTTTCTACAATAGTGGGTCGATCTAAGCCGAGAACAATGAGAAAACGGTTACCTATTTCCTTTGCGTTGTCATTTGTACAACCCAAGTAGCTACAGGATCACTTGGTCCTTACATTAGATGCATTGCTTCCGTTGTCAAACCATGGGTTCATATTGCTCATCAGTTCGTGGTTCCATCTTCTTTCTTACCTATCGCTGACGCGGGCGGCTGTAAGGATATTGCGAAGAATAATAGTTCTTTCGAATGCACCAAGTCCTTTCTATTTCGAGTCGCCATAGTTAATGTTTTTCAAATTATGTTAGGTCGGAAATAATGAGAGACTTATAGAATTAATTTTTGTTCGCGTTGAGAGGGATCTGTGGCACCCGTTGGCATGAGTTATTCTGTGTTTGATCTCTAGGCTCAGATTTTTATTGAAATTTACGCTAGACTAGATATATAAAGTCCTTTACTTTTTCGAATGTATAGCTGCCAACAATGATGTAGTTTCCATGACGAGAGGAGTTTTTGTGTGTGACCTCYAGGGACTTTGTCTTGTCTTCATTTATCTCAAGAAAAATTTCTTATGCGTCTTTTTCTAGGCTGGAGAACTCTGAGCTGACGAATTTTTTGTTAAGGCCAGCGATGATAATAACGTACCCCAGTAACATTGTTTTTTTTTTTTTTAGAATAGACGATGCCACTGGGGTTCAGGTTAGAGGCACTTATCACTTTTTTCTTTATACATGAGAGGATATCACCCYGTCTAAAACCTCGTTTCGTATAGCCTTCATATAGTTTCGGTCCTTCCTCATTTTAAGGAGCTGATGGTTGTTTACAAAGTGGGCAACATTATTGGCCTTTTGATAAGGATCCTTTCATATTTCGGGATTTGACAATCRTCTCGGCCTAAAAGTTAAATTAAATCGCCAACACTTTCGCTTTCGATTAATTAATATAGAAATTAGAAAACCAACCCCCAAAAACAGATCACTCTTCATCACCATAATGCAAGTTCTCAAACATCGACATTTTTGAGCACTTAAATCTTCAGTTTGATGAGTCATCCACCGGATAGTCTTGACGTTTGACCGAATGACTTATTTTTATTTCTGAACGTGAAAAATAAATTAATCGGACGGCTGATGCGTTCTAAAAGATATACTTCAATCAAAGTGGCAAAAATGTTTCCATATTTGGATCATACGCATGCAAAAGTATATACATATTCATTGATCAAAATTTGTTTTTGTTCTCTAATCCCGAAGACAACCAACGTATTATATCACAACGGCGAAAGAATTTTTCAAATCCGTTGAGAAGTTTCGGAGCCTATTCAATTCAAACAATCAGATTTTTTCTCTTTATAATGTTAGTATAGATTGAAYTCAGTGTTCATATTCAGTGTTTTTYTTTACATTAACCTTAAAGATGAAGGTTAGCTTCTGCATAATCCTCTTTTCTTCAAGTAACTACTTGTTATCATACATTTTAGTAATAAAATCATTTTGGTTTTAATTCATAAAATGAGTTCCCACTTCCATTATAAATAATATTATTTTAAGCACTAAACGCTCAAGGTCAATTTTGTTAAATTTTTTGTTTAAGTTGCCACTAGAATATGCACACATGAAAGAATATACTTTCATAGTGCCAATTTAAGTTTTGAACTACCTTTAGTCATGCAATCTCGCCAATTAAATGTGGGCGGAAGTGTGCGAAGGTTGCAGTTGATAGCCTCGACATATTAAAGGGCCTAAAAATTCAATAATCTACCATTCCAACGAAGTGCGCTTTCCCACACGGCCAAACGGCAAATGGATGTGGGTAAATATACCACTGTGTGCTGAAAATTTGCATATAAATTGCATTTAAACTACACTTACTTCGATTGTCWCCTGACCTTTTCGGCCAGCAGGCGTCAAACCCAAAACAACAATAGCAATAAAAGCAATCAACAAGCTCTTCATAGGGAGCTCTCATGGAARCTTCCGTAATCACTGCTGTGTTTGAGGGGGCACAGTTTCGATAGCGTTGTCGAGCATTTCAATGACATTTAATTTTTCAGCGATAAAATGCTATCCTTGCAGTGAGTGTGCGGAATTCGAAAGTAATCTGAAAGCGGCCAATACTTGAAAACTTAAGTTCAGTATGATTGTCTATGTACACAGATATAGTATGTTTGTAAGTAAATATTGTTCTACAATATCATCCTAATATTTATTGATATATAATCTCTGAGTAGAGATTTTTGTTACTTCGTATTATTGTTTTACAGTCGGGAGAAATATGAAAAAAGCTATCCTGTTTCTCAAACAAAAAAAAAAAAAAATAAATAAAAAAAAATTAAGAAAGAATGCTAACTTCAGTTCCACCGCTGAAGATTTTGAGATTGCATTATTGGCTTACACAATAAGCTATGTCCAGTGGTCCGCGAAGGTATCTGCTCAAACAAAAAAGTTTTCCACGCAAACACTTGACTTCGGTTGGTCAGTTTGTGGGGCAGCCATATGCGGCACTTCCGGTTCTTGGGGAGCAAAGGACGTGCCATTTCATCTCCTTTGAAGTAATCCTCTTCCGCTGCAATAYACTTATTCCAACGAATTTTCCAGTCATCATAGCACTTGGAAAAATACTCCGTCRTGATGGCCATCAGARCCTTCTTCGATGCAGATTTTATATCAATTGAGTTAAAACGGTGTTCTCGGAGTGGTCATGTGAATTTGCYGAATAGCCAGAAGTTACACGAAGGTAAATCAGGCGAATGCGGTAATTGCGGCACGATAGTACTTGAGAATGTTGCGAATTGTACTTTGTATGGTCTCTGACATTTCCTTTTGAGAAATATATCTTTTCAAAGTAAAACAAAATGGACAAAAAATATTACGAGTATTAATTCCCAACGTTCACAGCCTTTTCAGTGTTATCTCTTCGCTTAATATCCCATATAATATTTTTTTTTATAGACCCAGATAGCCTTTCTTTGAAGTCCGGACAACTATATGAACACCAACATATGTTCGCACACATGAATAATCGTGATAATATAAGCTGTCAGTTGCACGTTTACCCAATTTAAACTTTTCCAAACGCTATTAATTTCCTATCCCAGTTTATCGACAGCATTGTCGAAGAGCATCGATATCATTGCAGCCACTTAAGCAAAAATTAAGTGCCAGAATTTAGTTCAACGTTTATATGAGTGAATGAAGAGTGTTGTTGTTGTGATGTGGTGTGTCAAAGTTCAGCAACTAAAATTTGCTGGATTTGTGCTATTGTGATTGTCCTTGGAAAGTTATTGTCTGATAGTAACAAGCACACAATATCAACCCCTCGTTTTTGTTCGTGACAAAAGCACAAAAGCTTTGCTGAGTTTTGGTAAACTTAAATTAAAAGCATTAGACCACATCTAGGGAAATATAAGAAAACCGTGTTCATAGTGTGCGCCATAAATGCGGTTAACGGATATACATATSTAGCTGTGAGAGGTTTTAATTTTGTGCAGCTCAGCTAATAACTAAACACACACTCTCTTATAGTTGATAAATTTTCAAAGGTGTTAGAATGAAGGCCACCAACTTTCATAGGCGGAAATACTTGTAACTGTATGTCACTCTAAAAATCAATTAAGTCTTACTGAGATTAACACGTGAAGAAGCTGAAGAATATACTGCTTGCTGCCATGCTTGCGTGTGTTCGTGTCCTTGCTTAGTTCGAAGAATATTTATGCATGAAAATCGTTAGAAGCTGTTTGGCTG